TAAATCTGATCACAGCAGGCCTACAGATTAGCTTGTTTGCATTAGCAGTTTGAAGAGACGGAATCAGCTTAAGTGTTAAAACTGCTGATAATGTCAGAAAAGTGAATATCGTAAAATTTTTCTTTTTCAGCTATGTAAAGACATTCATGTTGCCGCTGACTGGGGTGACTGATCTTGCCTCTGTGACAGATTGTTGGTAGGAGAGCTTTGATCGCCACCATCTTCACTCGGTCCACCGTGTCTTCTGAAAACACCCAGTTAGACAGACGTAGAGGTTCCTCACCGGTGCTCTGGATGCCGAGGGTCTGCTGCTGCTGCTGTTGCACACCATCCTCCCGAGCAGGTTGAGGTGAAACCAGTGACGGGTCAGGGATTGATGTCTCTGAAGGATGCGGAGTATCAGGACTCACTGGAGTCTCGTCGATCCAGGGTCTGAATGGTACATTAGCAGAGACTGTCTCCGGAACCTCCATGATTGTGGGGAGCCGTGGGAAGTTATCCTCCGGAAAGCATGATAGTGGTGGCGGCGACGTGTGCCGCGGACTGCCGTTCTATTTCGGTGGTGATGAAGTGGCTAGCACCCAGCTTGGTTGTGGAGAAAAGCTGTCTGGGGTCCATAGTTCATCAAGGGTTGACTGAGTGTAGAAACCCATCATGCTGATGCACTAGATCATCTGGGATGAAATGGTTTCTAGCTGAAAGCTCTTTATAACTAGTGATGGGGGGCGTGGTGTGACGATGCGACCGCCACTCCTCCTCCTCCTCCTCCTGAGGCAGAGCTTAGAATTCCAGTTTTTTTGCACTGTCAGAATGTCTTCCCAGCAGCGGCTGGTACAAAAAGGTGAAGTGATACGATCTGCCACTTCATCGATTTTTTCACACCAGGACTCGAAAGGTACAACCTGGAAAAGGCGGTAAATACTGCATTCAGCATGCACATTTTCCAGCACAAAAGAGCTCCCATCCTCTCTCCACTGCCCATCCGCATCCTCCAGCCCCTCCCATGAAGCGCTGAAAGCTATCACAGCGTTCTGGATTTCATCCAGCGATGGAAGAGCTTGCGGCTTGTTGCGTTTGACAGCCGGACGAGGTCGCTCACAATCATCCTTGTACACGCTGCGTGGAACTGCGAGGTTGAGCACTACCCAGTCGTTATAGGAGAGAACTGCTGAATGTGATAAATATTGCTTGAGAGGTTCGTCCTCAGCCACATCATGGATTACACAGCTCCTTGGTAGCTGAACCGGTACCCAAAACTACCTGTATAGCTGTAAGGTTCCAGCGGCCATATTTGCTCCAAGGAATCTTTACCGCCAAAAGGAGGAAGCTGAACTCTACACATGTAGAACAGGGGCGGATTAAGGACTGAAGAACATCCGGGGCTTAACACACGCACACGTGACACGCACTAGTCAACATCATATATGTCTTGTACCACATAATTTTTATCTGAAGCTACATATTAAGCATTTTCAGGGCAGAGTATTGTTCCTGTTAGTGTTTAGTGTGAGATGATAGTAAACATTCCCTTTCTTTCTCCAACAACGTTACCTGATAGTAAGCTAACTTTAGGCAAACCAGCAGCACAACAAATATTTTCAAATAAGACTCACAAACCTGAGTCAACACCAGTTCATCAAAGCTGGGGTTCTGTCGCCGTACTTTTGGTCTAAAAAACGTCCTTATGTCCATCTTCACTCATGCGTTTCAGGCAGAGAGTAGAAGAAGCTGGCTGCTGAAGGGCTTCTTCTTCAGTGGTGGAGGCTCAGGCAGGCTGTATACAAACTACTGCCAGCGGCTCCCTCTCTGTTGGACTTTGGTACTGCATGATAGTCTAATGAGCTTTGAAAGAAACAGACGTACTGCATGTTACTTCCGCGATTTAGATCCGGGGCTTCCTCTGAAACATCCGGGGCTTCAGCCCAAGTAGTCGGGCCTAACGCCGCCCCTGATGTAGAATATAGATTTGCGGGGAGCACCACCCCCTGCAGGCATCTGATGGATCGCTATGGATTTTTCACAGAGCAAGGTCTGTGATAGCGGCGACGGCGTGTCCACGCTCTCCTCTTTCACCTCCTTCTTCTCTCGGATAGAGGTTGAAGCATTGGTTGTAGACACTTCATCCATCTTCTCTTGCTTCACCATTTTCTTAGAGACATTTCTTCGGCCTTTCACCATTCTGACACATTCTCAGTCTGTCCCCTGAAATGGATCAGAGCTTTTGAAGAGGCAAGCAGGGTTGGAGGGAGGGATATGGGGTATTACATATGAAAGGGAGGGGCTGTGGGAACTGTGGGGTGAGGTATCCTAACACAAAAGAGTTATCAATCTTAACTCAAAGCAGATCATCAATATACATCTCGACAGAAGGGGACTACAATCAATAATTTCATGGGTCATTACGCAACAGTCATCAATTCATTTGTTGACATACAGTATGGGGCCATTAAAGGTCATATCACAAAAGGTCATAAAACAATACACCTGTCAAGTTTGACGTAAGGTGGTTTGGGGGAAAGGTCATAAAGGTCAAAGAACAATAGACCTGTCAAAAATTGTGACGAAGGGTGGTTTCTTCATCTCTCTCTGATAATGTTCCACTAGCCTGTGCTACTTCAAACAGCTGAAACAGCTTCCTGAGCGCAGCTGCCATTTAGATGGGGAAATGTATCATTCTGCTTTGAACACGGGTCGAAACAAAGTTGTTCTCCGGTTCCTGAAGCTCGGCGCTGTCAGAAAATTCAGGCCCTCAGGGAAAAACTGCACGTGTTTACCTCATTTACTGTTAAACTGAGCAAAGAACGATGCTCTGCTGAATGAAAAAAAAGGTTGTTTTCTCCTCATATAGACATTGCATCAGGAATCCAATGAGTGCACGGTGAAAATGAAGAACCCTTATAGTAGGCACTCTAAATGTAAATGTGTTCATTTAGGTCCAGCAACAAATGCATATATAACCTGAATGTTTCTTTCACAACAACCTGCTAACAACCAGAGTCTGGTTTTGTAACCAAAAGTGATCCAAGCTTTTTAGGTAACATTTCAATGCTGCATAATTTCTTGCTTGAATCCTGTTTTAGAAGGACGTTTTATCTGAGACAGTGTTATTCATCAGCACAATGTAAACACAGAAGGCATCTGCATTCTCTGGTGATTTTGCAGCTAATGCAAACAAGCTAATCTGTAGGCCTGCTGTGATCAGATTTACTTCTAGTTAGTCTCGCAAAGCAGAGGTTTACTGACAAGTGTGTAATAATTGGTCTTTTGAAATATGATTGGCTTTTCTGAGATTCACATGGTTCACAGATTAACATGGAAGTATTCTTCAACCCCTATATTCTGCATTAGCCTCTGAAAGAAAATCGATAGGTAAACTCTCAGGCCAGATAAAGCCAGTCTCTATCCACATCACACTGGTTTGCATTCATTACCTTACCAGTCTGAATATCATGAATTTTAATGAGTAAGATTTCATATCCTACCATTTTCTGCCCCTCACTCCTCTGAGTAACTTCCACTTCCTGAAACAGGAGCGCCAGAGCTTTTTCTACAGAGATTGACTCACAAAGCATTCATTCATACTAGGGACCGCTGCAGAGATATTGAAATTAAAAAGTATGCCAACTTTAAACTCATTTATCTTCTTTAACCAGCTTGATAGAAACAAAGACAACTTCCTTTAACCCCTTCACATTAAGAGCTTCAGTCAACGTCTCTGTGCTGAAATAAGCATTGGTGACCAGATCCCATCTTGCCAAATGTGGGACAGAGTCCACTCAGTGTGGGACAATGTGAAATTCCAATGCAACGAGATGAAGTAAAAAAAATTCCAATGCAACGAGATGAAGTAAAAAAATTCCAATGCATCGAGATGAAGTTAAAAAAAACTGTTCTAGCTCTAACACCACTGGTAAATTATGATTATCGTAATTTATTTCAAGTACTATATATTATATTTTGATTCAATTTGAACAAGGAAACAGCAAAGCTTTCATACTGTTCCACAGTTCCTCTCCTGGCACCACAGCTTAACTCAAGCACTTTGGACCTTCTACAGTGGCCCTGAATAACTTTAACTAACATTATTTTAAACCATCAACTCATTTTAATAATATAGATATGCCCACAATAGAAAATGCAGGTTTAAGCAGTTATTTAGAGTTTTCATTGAAAATTTTCCACAACAGAATTGCAGCAGACTTCTCCACGCTCTTTTACCCCGTCCACGTGCTCGGATGCGCTCATGACATCACAGGCCACAGGCCGCCCGTGTGCTCAATCATGTCTACATTCCTAAGAAAGTGTGCAACGAATGCGGCCAGGCTTGGGTGGGCGGAGTCAAGCAGATGCTAATGTGTAAGCGCAAAAGACTCTGTCAGCCTCACTGAACAGCTTTAACCCACGAGTCCTTATTCAGACAGTGTTTTCTCATCTGTGCTCTGGCATTTCTGTTTTGATGGTTCGTGAGCGCACTCTACACGCTACGGACCTACATTAAAGTACTGCCTCACGTAATGTGGGACTTCTGGTCACCCTAACATTGTAGTCCCCTCCACCCTCTTAAAAGCACATAAAACTGAATGCTGGTTGCATCATGTTTTTATCCTGCAGACTAATCAGCCCTCTCTCTTCCCGTTTACTTATTATACAGCAGATGATGAACTGTTTGTTTAGAGTTTTTCAACAATAAAAACAGCGAGGAAGTAAATGTGATTATGTAAAACCATTAATAAACTACTAATACTACCTAAACAAGATAACTGATTAATTTCAGTGATAATGACTGGCTCAGGCAGAGAGAGAGAGAGACAGAGAGAGAGAGAGAGTGTGTGTGTGAGAGAGAGAGAGAGAGAGAGAGAGAGAGAGAGAGAGAGAGAGAGAGAGAGCAGTTGTTATCTGTATCCACATGAGTCATGAAACTGAAGAAACACACAGTTTTGTTTGAACTGAAAAGTTTAATGTCATTGTGTTCTCCCTGCCTGAATGTTTTGTTTCTGCAGTTCCCGATGATCAATGAGTTCGGCGAGGACACTAACTCCTACTGCTCCTTTGAGAGTAAAGACACAGCGCTGCTGCAGTCAGAAAATGGCAACTTGCACCAAAGAGTCAACGTCCTCACCCACGAGGTATCCGTTCAGTACAAGCGGGAATATGAAGCAGAACAAAATCTAATTTTACATATTAAATTACATAAAAGAAACCCTTTATCACACTTTTTTCCATGTTGAAATTTCTTCTTTCATTAAAATTAATTTAATTAAATTTGGGCCAATAAACATTTGGGATTAAACGATTTAAGCTTCTTTCTGGGGACAAACATTGAAACAGAGGATGAGATGGAAGTTTTATTTCTAAAATGCTGAGAAACTGGAAAAAACTGTCCCAAGATATGGCTAAATGTTGAGTAAAAGCTAAAGAAAATGTAGACGGTTACATATAAGTAGGAGTGCATGCAGAACAGAGATAATATTCCTGTTCTTTGTGACTCCAGTATACTTCTATGATTGTGTGACCAAGCGCAGGAGGAAATGAGACCCGTCTGATACAGGAAGACCGTGGTGAAGCTGGTGGCAGCAGTAAGGAAATGCTAAGGAGCATCAGAGATGATTAGACTCTCACGCAGTGTTGTCACGATGTGAAAATTTAACCTCATGGTTATTGTGACCAAAATTATCAGTTTTCAGTATTATCGCGGTATTTTTTTAAACATGTTACATTATCAGATAATTAAATAAACCCTGTATATCAGGAAAATATTGTCCTCAGTTTGTGTCTAAATTTTGCCAATTTTTTTTTGTAATTATGTTGTTTATTTGTTTACATTTCCCCCTTTAGTCTTTAAAATACCAATATTTGCCCATAATTTCTTATTTTTTGCCTGTTTGTCATCATTTTAAAAATATTAGATTAGATTATACTCAGTACTCAAGTAGCCTTCTTATCAGATACTTTTTTTTAACCCTTACTTGAGTAATAAACCCTATATCAGGAAAATATTATCCTCGGTTTGTCCTTCCAGTGAGTTTTGCAGATATGGGAAAATGTCATCAGGCAGTAATCATTGTTAAATTCATAATTATTCTCGGAGAGAGACCAACTCTTATCTGCCCCTGGGAGCCCCGTAATGCTTCATTTCAATATGGGGGTGTCCGCGACACGGTTTATATGCAGGTAGCGGCGCTGCGGCTGCTTTATATAGCGACTCGTTGCATTCTCCCTCAACCCAAATCCTCGGATTATGCATTTTAGCTAAAACGTTGATGCTAACTTGCCTTGCGTTGACTGTAGAGTTGTGGGTGATGATCACGCAGATGTGTCATGAGATTTGAAGCGATGCTGCCTTTCACAGACACTTTTTCTGCACGTGCTGCAAACAGGATAGCCATCTTCTATCAACTGTCCCTTGGCATTCTTCAAATATCCAAAACATGCCCATACTTCTCACTTTGTCTTCTTTGAGGGATAATGAATGTCCTGAGCATTGCCGTCTCCTCCTTTGGTCATTATTTCAGCTTTAGCTTCAAGAAAGTTTTGAAAGTGCGTATGTGCCGCCGGCAGATGATACGGTGGCTGGTAAGGGTCACTGCGCCTACAACGCAGCCACAGTAATCCACTGAGATAATATATATATATTTTAAAAAAGATGGTTATTATTATTGTCAACTTTTTTACCGGGGTTTACGCTACACCGGTTACCGTGACAACCCTACTCTCACGTGGAGGTAATGTGTGTGTAAGGGTGGGGGGTTGACACCTGATATTCATAGTGATAAAATGTGCTACAGCTCACTGAGCATGCTCTGTTGGGACAAGGCTACTGGAGCAGGACAATCACACACACACACACACACACACACACACACACACACACACACACTTGTCGTTTGTGTGGAGTTGTGACCTGTGGTATTTTACCGTTGTATTGATTCTTCTTCTCATTGAACTTGTCTCTGGTAAACACACCGACTTCACCTTTAGTTTTTTCAACTGAAACCTCAGAAGGTCCTTAAATCAAACTCATCAAACTGAAGATTAGATGATGGTATTATCTGAACCGGGAGATGGCTGCAATGTGGTTCCATAATGTAATTAAACATGTTACACCAACAAAGCTGGCATGAATGCCAGTTCTATTCCTTTTCCTGTAAAAATGTCTCCTGTAACAAGATCTTGGTAGATTTCGGTGAGGATGAATGCTGCTGCTCTGAGTGAGAACATTTTGGGTAAGCCGTTTCACCAATGAGTAATGGGAAATATGTATTTACCCGTCTGGTCTGGGAGTAAATTCAGTGACTGAAGATGCAAAGTCTGGTACGAATCCAGGAGTCACCCAGTAGTAATGAGGTCTACAGTCTGCAGCGATGCGGGCGTTGTACCGGTCTGTCTTGGTGAAGAGAGAGCTGAACCGGAAAGCAAAGCTCTCGATTTACCGGTGATCTACATTCCTAACCTCACCTATGGTCACGAGCTTTGGGTAGTGACCGAAACAATGAGACCGTGGGTACAAGTGGCTGAAATGAGTTTTTACCGCAGGATATCTGGGCTCTGCCTTAGAGATAGGGTGAGGAGCTCAGTCATCTGGAAGAGGCTCAAAATAGACCCGCTGCTCCTCCATATCAAGAGGAGCCTGTTGAGGTGGCTCGGGCATCTAGTTAAGATGCCTTCTGGATGCCTCCCTGGTGAGACACATCCAGCCAGGAGGAGACCTAAAGGAAGACCCAGGACACGTGGGAGGGACTATGTCTCTCGGCTGACCAGGAAACACCTTTGGATTCCCACGGAGGAGCTGGTCCAAGTGGCTGGGAGGAGGAATTCTGGGCCTCTCTCCTTAGGCCACTGCCCCGCGACTCGACCCCGGATAAGCGGAGGAAATTGGATGATGGATGGATGCACACATACCAAAACAATACAAAGGTCTATAGAGGTAAAGACAACAGAAAATATAATATTCACTTCAGTTCCTTATCTTGAGAACCTGCAGCTCTTCACAGAAACATTAGCTTTCAAGTCTTGTTTTCTTCCACCAGTTGTTAGAAGCAACTTAACGAGTAAAAACTAAAAATTCATTCTCCAGAATAAAAACTCAAGATGTTTTCTGTCTGTATCTCCTAATGGAGACATAGCTGAGGAGCTTTTTTCTTTCCCAAGACCATCTACACGTTGGTGCCAGTTTTTCTGCAGTCATATGTTTCCATAAACACTCTGAAAAGCAGCAGGCAGCGATATATGCCTTTTTCCTCGCTGACTGTTTATCTCACTCCCTTGCTGATGCTCCCACTCTCTTTCTCTGTTGTCTAAAGTGACCATGTTTTTTCACATCCTTTAATAAGAAGCTCTTGGCCTCAACTGCATTAAAAGTCCTATTTTGCTCAGTGTGGTGAGTGCCGCTGCCATCAGATCTGTCAAGTAATTACATGTGGCTTTCTGCCACAATCTTCTAATACCACACAAAAAGAATACTAAATCTGCAGCGCATCAAGAAATCCTCTTTTTTTTAACAAGAACAAGTGCTGCTTTGCATGAGCTGAGGTCTCAGATTTCCAGTGTCCTAATTTTACTTGGTAATAAAACTGGAGGGACACATTTGATGACTCTCACAATACGAGTTTTTTTGGCCTTCTTTTTCTTTGTTAGGAAGTTTGAGACAGAGAAGTGGAAAATGTGTCAGGTCTTAAGTGTGTGTGTGTGTGTGTGTGTGTGTGTGTGTGTGTGTGTGTTTCTTTTTCTGTCTCTCTTCAGCTTCAGAAGAGAAAAGAAAGGGAGGAGCAGCTGGAGGAAGTGATCCAGGCCTATGAGAAGATCCACATGGAGAAAAACAACCTCCAGAGGGATCTCGACAAGATGGTCAGAGGCCTAACAGGCTTTGCTGCTATTTGCTTTGGAATATTTTACAGGGCTCAGTAATGACTGTTGGTTGGCAAATAAATAGTTAAAAAATACGATTCTACAAAGCTGTGATACTTAATTTTCAGCGCTGGGTCTGCCTTTAATGATCCTGAGTTTCTGCTTGTCAAAGAACTTCACAGATAGACTAACAGTTTTGACTAACAGCAGCTGAGCTTCACCTGGATGATGGAGCTTATCATCTTATCTATAATGCTAATTGTCTTCACGTGCTTGTCTCCAAGATGTTTTGGTTATGATCCAGATGTCATTGACACAACAGAGTGATAAAAGGTAGATGGACCAGAATATGGAGAGTTGACCACATGGATCACTCCACCTTTTGTTGGTCAAGAATCGTCACCTCAGATTTAGAGAAAAGGAACTACAAAAACATAGCCTGGCAAGCCAGAATAAATAAATGTATTATTTAGTCTGGCAATGCTCCATTGACGGCTCTCGGTTGTGGGGCGGGTTCTACCGTTGTCTTTCAAATGATCTCCGCATTCCACTGGACAATGAATGTGACATACTCTTGTTTCACTCTGTTGTATCATCCCACTCACCAGGCATATAGAGTGCCCTGATTGGCCCACAAAGCAGATAAAGCTCTGTGATTTGTTCACTAAGCAGATAGAGCACTATGATTGGCCCACCATTATGGACCAATCACAGCTCTTTATGTGTTTGAAACCCCTCTAGAGCTTTGTGATTGGCTAGCCAGAGTCCTGGTAGGAGCTACGGAGGTTACAATGGAGCATGCCTAGACCAAACGTTGCAAAGCAAGAATTTGGTCTAGTTCACTAGGCTAACAAAAACAACCAAATTACATATGATTTAAAAACTAATTAGGTTAAAGGTTGAATTTGAAACAATTTAACAAAAAGCTATGTTAAAAAACTAAATACCCTCACTGGGTATTTAGAGGTGTGCAGAATGAAGGTATAGCATTTCGTTTTAAATAAAAGTAATAAAATATTTATTTAGATAGGTACAACACTGTGTTAATGTTTACATCTACTCGCCAATAGAGGGCACCATTGAGGGTTGCCAAACACTATGCTCAGCTCAGTGACGCTGACACTGTGGAAAATCTGCCCATCAAGCAGCTGCTTCTGAGCCTAGAAGATGTTCCAACGTAAAATACTGTTGTAAAATAAACGTATTAGTAGAAATTAGTCCTTATCCTGTGAGATTTGTTTCTGGACATGGTGCTGGCTGGTCACTTCACGTATCTGAAGTGAACCTGATATCCAACCTGACAGAAATGTTGTTCTTTTGTTGCAACTACAACCTCTACACACTAGATGTCGCTTTGGTGTTTATGCTCCACATTCAACCTTTAATTGATAATTCAGTAAAAAAAAATGTTTTGGAAATCCAGTTATGGTTCAGACTCATTCCTGATCTCTAATGTTAAAGTACAAGGACCTGTCTGACTTATTATCACATAATTCAACACATGTAGTTAATAGGATGATGAAATATTCCTCTGAGGGATGCCAGTAACAGGGAATAATTTATTCAGAGTTTGGAACAAAACACATTGACCTCTAAAATCAGAAAATATTTATTTTCCAAGAAAATTCTTCATTTATAGATCAGAATGAAACTAACTTTCAGTGAATTTCTTATTTTGCCAAAGTAATTCTGGAAAGAGGAAATCTACTTTAGGCAATCCATTTAAGTGGAGTTCTCCCCGTTCAAATGTGCCAGATGTGGTCATTTAAAAACTCCAATTAACTTTCCTTTGTGTATCATTTTGTTGGTAGAAACTGTGAGAGACTCGTTTTTATTGAGTGATAACAAATCTCAAGCAGGCAAAGCCGTCCAAACGAACAGATTGGCTGGCTGGACTTCTCCATAGGTGCCCTCTGTGGTAATAATCCATCTCACCCGACAGACAAGTTGTCGGCAGCTTCGTCCACTCAGAGGAACAAGAGTATGAAGGTGCTGGAGCTGCCAAGAACCTTTAGAAGGACTTCATCAGCAGAGTGGCACTTGAGCTTCAACTATCCAATCCTTCTCCCACTAACCAACATAATACAGAGTTGTAGGGATTAAAAGTGGTTTTATTGTCATTGGTGATCCCAGATTTACTTCATGATGTCACAAACAAGTCACGTTTGTCTGTAGCATATAGTGATTTCCGAGTTGCTGCATACTGTAAGATCACCACGTGTGTGGTCTGTCATTCGTTAGAAAATCAGTAGACTATTTAAAAATCCTGCTGTGTGATCCAGGCTTAACATCAATAAGCCTGGGAGAGCATCATAACTGAAGTAATGAGCAAAGTTTGACAAAGTGGGAGCAGTAGGTAGTAATCACTAACATTCTGTCAAATATGAAAGTTCATAATAAAACATGAAGAAAAGGAAAAATAAACAGACCCAAATAACTCAGAAATATGAACATTACATTGTTATCTTTATGTGGATGATACTTTACCGTACATAAAACCTAAACTTCACAGCTTTTCAGAGTCAAACGTGCCTCACAAAAGCTTGTCTTTTTGACCAATCATAGATGGGCCTGCATGTTTGTAAAATCATTAATTGTTGCCGTTTTCTATACTGCAGATTCTCAAGGATAAACCTGAGCCTTTCACTCATGTAGTAGTCAAGGCCTCCATCACCTGAGTTCGGTTTGAAGCACTGCATCTGAGACAAAAAGACCTAAACAATCCTAGAAGTTGATTTCCCACCTTCTAAACCTTTAACAGTCATAACAGGTTTAACAGAACCTTACAGCTTTGCAGAGTAGTACTATGTTTAAACTGTGCATACTCAGGGGGTTTCAGGCTATCTCTGTAGTTTTATAGCTACTAAATGAAATAATGCAACATTTATGGCCAAATAAAAAAAAGGAAAATTAATAACTGCATCAACTTTCTGTAAGATTTAGACCAACCTCCCTTCTTTCAAAGGTTTTCAGCCAATCTGCTGAAATAAATCAGAACCAGTTAAATCTTTGAATCTTTAAATGCTCTAACATCTCAAACTTCAGAGTTCATATATAGACCTTCTTTGAATCAGTAAATCATCCTATTGGAAGATGAACAGTCACATTAATCACTTTGATTGAGACAGACTGTGTGGGACACGTGTCAAAAGGATATGCGATCATGTAAAAATCTCCCTATTTCATGTCTTAATGGTTTGATATCTCTGATTAGATGTTCTGTATTGCCTCTAATGCAACACCTACAGTGCTGTTTAGCAGCTGATGAGCTGTATTTTGACCTGCACCAGGATCCAGCTCTTACAGATGGAACCGTCGCTGCAAATGCCACTAATACAGATGAGTGAAATTTCACAGCCACAAGTGCAAAGATAATAACTGTACTTTGCTTTCATCTTAGCTGTAAGGCTGCCAGGAAAGGCAGATTTTATCTTTAGTAAGTATTTGATACCCCAGTGTTTTGAAACTAAACATTGTGTGTTTTCAGACCAACCTGGTGGAGAAACACGTTGAGCGGATCCTGGGACTAGAGTCGGCTCTGAGGCAGAGGGACGAGTCCCTGCAGAAGATCAACATGCAGCTGCACAGCAAAGACATGCAGTACCTGCAGCTGCACGCAGGCCCTGACAAACACAGTGAGCAGATTAACACTTCTGTGCATTTATTGAACTCATTTTAATGATCACACAGCATTACAGTACCAGAGGATAGTTGCAGCTCTGCCTTGGTGAAGCAAGTCACTTACTTAACACTAACGTGGGTTTAATTATGGTTAAATGTTTCCAGATTAAAGAAAGAAAATTGCAGCAGTGAGTATCAGCAGAATTTAAAGAGACAATGCGTAGTTTTTACCTTTAAACTCTGGAAATATCCATAAAAATGTTGTTGAAAATGAATGAAACGCAGACAGTGGAAAATATTGGTGACTTTGCAACATATAACCATAACAACGGTTTTGAATACATGAGTGCAGGTCTATGTTTCAGGGGGATGCCATATTAGACGCAATGTTTTCTTCTTTCTATCAACTGTTCCCCCACCCTCTACAGGAAGCTTAAATGAAGAGCTTCATGTACATACTGAACGCTGGCAGCTAGGTGTAACTATAGGAGGATCTTTTTGGCTGTGTAGCTAGAGCAAATATTGCCTACTATCAATACACAACACACACTTTCACAAGAGTTTACAGGTGAAATCCACTAAATATAAACACTTTAACACCTACAGAGAGGAGGTTTAGAAAAAAGCTTAATATGTAGATAAACCTGTATGAGCTCTGGGATGACAGAAAATGGTCCAATTCACCGTTTTTAATTTTTTTTTTTTTTTTTTTTTTACAAATCTGCTGAGGAGACATTTATTCCATTTTGATAAAAAGCCCAGGGTCCTCATTTATCAAGCTTGCTTACGCACAAAACGGGGTCGGAAAACTGCGTAAGCAACTTTCCACGCAAACTTTGGGATTTATGAAAGAAAACTTAGCGGAAAAATGTGCGCAACTTTAAGTTGACTAAGGACCTGGCTTACGCACACTTTGGACATGGAGAGCACCTGCAGTGCTGCTGCTGAGAAGGATACAATTATGAAATCCTGCAGCATTATCACTTGTACCGCATTGTTTTCACACAGAACAAGACCCCCCACACGCACACACATGCGCTCGTACACACACATGCGCGCACACTCACACACACAACCTGAAGCACAGAATACGGAATGCAGAATATCAGCGGGGGGACAGATTGAGACACAATGTCATGTGTCTGTGACAGTGTGTGTGTCCTGTCACTGTGACCCAATTGATCATTGTACAGTGGAGATCTGTTTGGCTGACTGGTTAGCATGAGTGACTTTCACCTGGGAGTCTGGGGATCGAATCCCAATTGGACCATATTTTTTAATATCCGCCACAGATCTCTCTAAAGAACTCAGCATTGACGGCTTCAGTAACACTGTGCCACTCTGTGGATTTTCTCTTATTTGTTTTGCAAAAGTACTTCCTTTCATTTCTCCACCTCACCCACAGGTACCTCAACTTCTGCGAAATTGTGCTTTCTTGATCTGCCTTGATCGCGGAGCGCCGCAACAGCTGGCTTATGTATATGCATGATATCCACAAGGGACTTTGCATTGACTATTTATGGCAGTAGGTGGGCATGCTGAGGGCGGGATGTGACTAAAATGCAGCTGAGAAACATTCTCGTAAGTCTCCAATTTATGAAGCGGAGATTGCGAGCAGCTGTGCGTACTCCATGTTTGATTTATGGCAGTAAGTGGGCATGCTGAGGGCGGGATGTGACTAAAATGCAGCTGAGAAACATTCTCGTAAGTCTCCGATTTATGAAGCGGAGATTGCGAGCAGCTGTGCGTACTCCATGTTTGATAGATCACAAACCTACTTGGTGTTAGCACTTTTTTTTTTTGCTGAGCTTAAGTATGGTTTTAGTAAGGGGTCTACGCCGTGTTTGATAAATGAGACCCCTGGACTTATGAAAATGAAAGGAAAGAATTTAAGTGATTTTAGCAAATGGCTGCACTGTAAGTCCCACTGTGACTGAAAATCTGGGCAAGTCTTCATTTGTTTGCTTATTTATTTATTAATTCATGGTTCTAATGATCGCAGGTTGAGACACCTGAATCAGAAAGTGAAAACATTATGATTCTGTGGATGTAAAAATACGACGATGAAAGTTTTTAAAAACATCTTTTCTAATTATCTTTCGTATTTTGCGGTCCTTTATGGAGGAAATCCCAATAAAACTCCAAAATATATATATCCCCGGGCCGAACAATCAACCACACAGCAAGAACGATCCATGTGCATCGCCAAATCCTCCTCCAAGCGTGCTAAACAATTGTGCTAAGACACTCCCAGGGATTTTGAACCCTAATGGCCATTCGTTGGTAAGGTGATGTCTTACTCGAACACAAAAGTAATGCGTGCTTGCAGTGATTTAGGTTTGTATTGCCCCCTACCGACATGGAAGGTACACACCATCACTTCAGGAAAAGTTTAAAGAGGTCATCTTGTTCGTCAAATTTATGGAACAAAAACAAACAAACCTGGTTTATATCTTTATAGCAAATGTCAAAAATATGATCAACATTACTATAATTAAAATAAGAAGATATAGAGTTAAGTGTGCAGCTGGTTATGCTGTTGCTTTGCAGTGAGAAGGTTGCTTGTTTGAATCCCAGATGTGCAGGGGCGTTTCCAGGTGGTAGTTTGTAGTACAGCAAGATTTGGACAAGCAACTGCCTGGCAACCCCAATGATGTTCTTGCCCCATATATATATATCTTAAAGACAACCTGTGTGGACGTTTGGTTCTGTTTGAAAACTCATTATTTATGTAAGCGCTTGTAATTATCATTCATTCTGGCTCTAAGATCATTTATTGTGGAGTGATTAATGCTGAAAATTTGTATTATTCGTCCTACTGCCTCCATCTGCACCACCAAATGATCTGTATTGTGAGTAGACTGTCCAAAAAAACATGTGAAAACCCAAAAGACAAAATGTGACTGAGGAAATCCTGCACACAGAGCAGAACAGTTTGATCCAGGCCTGCTACTCCAAAGCCCTTTTCAGACTGACATTCTGGAACATTTGCGGACAATTCAATCCGGTTTTTAATCGGAACTGTGTTTTCAGACACACCACTTTTGTACCGGAACTTGTCCTTTCGGCTGCGTTCACACAGCAGGGAAAAGTTCCAGATGTCTGACGGCGGCGGGGGGTGGGGTGGAGAATCGGACTCATGTTAAGAAGAAGAAGAAAATATCATTTCTATAGCGCCTCTCAAGATAAAAATCACGAGGTGCTTAAGCATAATTCTGCGCACACGAAGATGCATAAGAGACCTGGATGATGAAGCTCAATGGTTAAAGGAATCACTGAAGCGGTGTGAAGTGCTCCGTCGCTCGTCTAGGCGGTACCGTAGGAGGCGAGCTGCCGTGGTTCGCCGCATGCTACAGCAGCGGGCTATCTAGGTGCGCACAGCGTCCCCCGGTCTCCTCCCCCTTGTCCGGAACTTTACCTCACCAGTCTGAAGCAGCCAACCTGTCCGTAACAAGTCCGGACCTGTTACTAGGGGCTTCGTCCGGATAAATTCCGGAACACGTTATCCGGATGTTTGTATTCAGACAGAAAGGTCTTACGGACAGATTCCGGAACATTTCCGTTTTTCATGGCCTGTCTGAAGGGGGCTCAAGAGATGTGGGGTCGTGGAGTTCAATGAGGTCCTGTTGAGTTTAACTGCTCGAGAGTGATGCTAAACTCTGACCCTCTTCAACGATGTGGGTGGCTGAAAGATGGGAGAAATGTGTCACCACCACCTCAGCAGAAGCCTGTGCTGATAGTGTACCCCGATGATGAGGAGGAGGACTCGCTCTGCATGAGCATGTATCCTAAAAGGACATTTTTGTTCCTTAAACTATGTTGAATTTGCAGGTTGCGTATGTGAATGAGGGGAGATGTGTAAAGCATTGCAGCGCTCACTGCAGCTTTAACTACATGTATGAGTGTTGTGTTGAGGAGGTAGGATAAAAGATGATAGTTTGCTGTTGCTATGCCTTCTGTAGCTCAAGGACTGTGAGAGCAGAGCTGAATCACTAAGCAGCCCACACAGACCAAATCACCCAGGTACAAGCTGAAAGATGCTGACCTTGGAAGGAGTCAGCTCTTTGGCTCTTTCACGGGCATCACTTGTGAACAACAACAGGGAAACAAAATAAAAACTCCTTTTTGTATTTTGCCCTTTCTGATGCATCTTTATATCTCCTCATTTGTTTGTCCCTGTCAGTGCTAGACTGTCCTGCCCTGACCCTGCAGAGCTCTCGCAGCCTGGATACCCTGTCCGACCTGAAGCTACAGCGGCTGGAGGCGGAGCTAGAAGGGGCGCGGCACGAGGCCCAGGGGGCATGCCAGCGTGAAGATGAGCTAAAGGCCGAGTGTGAGAGGCTGAAAGATGAGATAAGACAGCTGGAGAGCAACCAGAGGGAAAGGGTCAGTAAAGTAAAGCTCTGAGTGGGCAGTGACTCACCAGGTCTAGTCCTCAATGGCCACTTCCTGTAAGCTTTACATGTTTCACGCTCCAGCACACCTGAAGAAAATGATCTCTGTGTTGAGTTCCGCAGGAGCTCAATAGTTATTCATTAATTGTGTCAGGTGTGTTGGAAACAGGAAACAGGTCAAATTTGCATGGATGGTAGCTTCAAATCAATTCATTGGTTTTATTTATATGACGCCAAATCACAACAAGAGTCGTCTCAAGGCTCTCCACAAAGTAAACATTTCAAAACAGTTCAGTTCATTAAGCCACTCAGTAAATAGTTTCCTACCTAAGGAACCCAGCAGATTACATCGAGTATCTACAGCACTTCAAGGACTGGAGAAGGTGACCCATGGGTCAAAAAGAGAATTGTGATAGAAATAAAAAGGCAGTTGTTACATTTGAATAAATACATGAAACACGAGAGATAAGTTTTCTATCAGGGCAGGTTGGCAGGAGCGTAGGATGTAATCCTGCCATTGCTGCAAATTTTCTTGTCCCAGTTTAATCACAAAAGGACATAACTGTCTCTGTCTCACACAGACTACACAGGGTTCCTGGTGGGTTTCTGACACATAAGTATCTCATCTGTCTTGCACATGTTTTAAAGTTCATGTGAAATGTAACTGAGACCCTGTGACTCTTACGAAGAAAATGATAACAGGGGCTTCTTCTCACAGTTGCTTTGAGCAGCTTTGGAAACATTTTTCAATATCTATTGGCAATTTACTCGCATCAGTCGCAGCTCTGTGAGGGCTATTCACGGCCATTCATACGCTGTAACACCAGTTACCTCCTGTCAGTTACAGGGGCTCGCTTTCTTTTCTTCTCACAAGTCAAATATTCATCAGGAACCCATCTCAAACATCTCTCCCTGGGGTTTTCTCTGGGAAACATATGTAGTCATGGGTGCATCAGCCCCAGCAGAGAACTAAACTGCAAACAAATTGAGACAAAATTTGGAAAACTTGTGACAAAACTGAAACAAGAACAGTCACACAGGGCTCAGCCAGTTGTTTTTAACACTAGTGACAAATGTGCTTCAGTGTCTCACTGTGATTTCTATTCAAAGTTTGCTGCCAGCAGGAGCAGCGCAGAGATAAATGAACAGATTACTTGTCTGAAATGCCTGACTAAAGAATTTACTCAGAACTACAGTCAATTAGCATCATGCAATTACAGAGCCACTGTGAGTTTGACAAAAGTCCTGTTCTGATGTGTTTTCTCCACAGTTTTTGCTCTTTTTGTGACTTGAACTTCACTGTTTTTAACTAAAGACCAACTTTTCACCGCTTGCTCTTCAAACTTGGGCTTTAAAAGATTTCCTGGTGAAAAGCCTTGGGACATTTTGTTCCTTTAGAGCTAAATGCCTTTCACTGTAACACGTTAGAGCTCACAGCTGAGTGAAAATGGTGTATTAAGGTCAGCCATGAATGTTTAAGGATAAGTCTCCCTCATGCTGGTGATTACCATTTTGCAAAATAGCTTCAAATTATCAAAGATTTAGGAGATTTATTTGATTGTTATGGAATTAAAAAGAGACAACAAGCTGCATGCAATTCTGACATCTTTAGGGGTTTTAAATGTTCAAACTCGATGTAAAACTGACTGAGATGAAATCAAGACAAATTCACCAGAGCTAAGATTAATCACTACTGTGGAGAACAGCACACTACAGAAATATTTTGGATTATTAGAAGTGTTTTTTTTTTAGCTTTTGTGTCTTCAGTGGGTCACTTCTTACAGAAGATTCTAGTCAGAAATCACATAAAAGTTACTGTATATTTTAAAATGTTGTACTCTAAAAAGTCTTTAGGTCTGCAACATGAAAATATATCATCAGTTGAAAAGGAAATGAGATCCACCACCTGTTTTTGCAGTCTCTATAAAAATACCACAACTGTTAAAGACAATTACCCATGAGCTCATGCAGCATATTCTGCTGTTTTTGTCCCTTTAAACACGTCGCCTTGATGTGCTCATGCTGTCAGATTTTGTCCAATATTCCAGCAGCACCTGCACACTAATCAAATTTCATGCTCTACTTCTGCAGGAAATGACTTCTCCGTGCAAGCAGTGTGATGTGGAGTGGATAAAGAAGGTGGGAGATGAGCAGTAAGTGGCCACGGTGGATCACTGGGTGGTGGGAGATGGGAGGGGAGGCACGTGGGAGGGAGAGATGCATGAGAAGCAGTAGAAAAGAGCCCAACACCAAGAAAAATCACAAGCATCTCTGACTAAAATCTGTGAATTCGATTTTTTCATCGTGTTTCCTGTTAATTTTTATAAATTTAATTAAATGTCCGACCCAGTTTCTGCCTGACAGGAATGAAACTCAATGCTCATAAATTCTGCTCAATCAAATCTCAGTTTCACTCATTAGTTGTTGCAGTGCATAGGCCTGAGCAGCAGGGGGCAGTGTTGGCTCAGACCTAGACATCTTCCTGTCAATCTGACTCAGTCATTTTTTTTATTATTAAACAGAAACGTTAAGTCTACAGTTAGACCTTTAAATGCTCCTCTATATCATTTTTAAGCAGACTCTACATTTACCTGTTTTAGTCCCTCACAGCCAGAGAGTGCAGCTGTTTTTCTTCATCTCTGTCAAATCACCCAAGCAGACAAATGTTTACAAGGTGTCTGGCGTATAAAAAAGGCAAATACCACAGCAGGTTGGGCAACTGACTCCCACACAGTGAAACCCCAGAGGTGTTTCGATGGGGAACAAACAGAAAGTAGATGGCACGGCAGCAAAGAGAGGCTGACTTTTTACATTTTACTGTGCGGTGGAAGCCTACTGCTTTTTTCCAGACTTCGGTCACCTTTTGGTTTTACTCAACAATATCAATACTCCTATTGAACTGCCTCTACTTCATTTCCTGGAGCGTTTTCTTGTAATTAGGTCCATTTAATGTAAAGTGCACTGATTGAATTAGAGGATTTTCTTTAGGCTGTAGAAAATATAAATAAAGTAGCATTGAGCTCTTGATCATCAGACCTTTATCAGCAAAATAATCCTGTTGGATAATTGAATATGATATTTAAAAACTTCTCTGTGTGAAATAGTTTAAGCAAACAGCAAACTAGACAAAGATATATCAAAATCAATCATTTGTCTTCCGTTTGTCAGACACATTTCGTCTTATTATTTTTATTTCCTGCTTTTCATCCTTCCATTTCATCAAGTTTATCTTTTTCTGAGTTTGCAGAATGTTACCAGTTACTGTTAATACAACCTGTCCTAGTCAACCACAAGCCACAGAGCTGTAGACGAAGACAGGTACCTGACACCCCCCCCCCCCCAAAATCTACCTCCCCATCTCCCGTCACACACACACACACACACACACACACACACACACACACACACACACACACACACACACCTCAACAGACTGACTAATCCACCCTCAGCTTTCAGAAAACGAGCTGTTTCCTATAAATAACAACATGTTCAGGTGGAATTCCCTTTTCTTCTGAACACATAATCTGTAATGAAGCAGCTTATTTAAGAAAACTGGATCTGAGTTCAACTTTATAAATACAAAGCATTACCACACTGTGGCTTGGCGTAAGAATAGTTTGACACCTCTCACCAAACAATGCACAAAGTAGAAGCAGAAAAATGATAGAAGAGTGTGAAAACCCTCATTATTTCTGCTTTTCATGTATTTGTTTCCTTCAAAAAAACAGTTTAAATCCCAAAATGAGGCTTCACTCTTCAGACCAGATTTCCTCTAAATTCAAGGCCATGTTCTATGTTGGAGCTCCCAGAGGCAGGTGTGGTGTCGACCCTTATTTTAAAACACCAGATTAGAGTTCATGTTTAAGCATGAAAATTAAAATCAGCAATGAAAATCCCAAACTCAGTATCTCTGAATATTAGAACGCTTCGAAAAGGTTCAATTCTGAAGACCCCTGGTGCCACACACTAATCAGCTAATTAACTCCAAACACCTGCAAACGCCTTTGAATTGTCTCTCAGTCTAGTTCTGTAGGCTACACAATCATGGGGAAGACGGCCGACCTGACAATTGTCCAAAAGATGACCATTGACACCTTGCACAAGGAGGGCAAGACACACACACACACACACACACACACACACACACACACACACACACACACACACACATGTATGTGTATATATATGTATGTATATATATATATATATATATATATATATATATATATATATATATATATTTCTCTGGTTTGCGGGGTTCTTTCTTGCCATTGGCTGCCCGGGAGACAGCCTGCTCTCTGAAACGGCAGTGATGGCAAAGAGGTGAAACGTAAGAGAATCCTTACATCCTCTAGCTGGGTTATTTTTGGTGGACAAAGCTCTTCACGGTCCTTCGTAAAAAAAAAAAACATAATCATTGCAAGTTTGAAACCAGAACTCATGAGACTAGTGAAAGCTTCCCTACAAACTGCTTTCAAGAGATGCTTCTCTTCAAGCAGTCCAGACAATAAATGTCCCCTAAAATGGATTTTGTTGACATTTACTGAGAGCAAAACACTGACATGTCTCAACCTCTAAAAAGTATTATTCTGTGGCCCCACAGCTGACAAACCAATAATTAAACCAAACAGCTTTAATCCCTTTTAAACCATTTAAATGGGATTATATCTGCTGGGTTGTAACTTTGATTTAGACACAAATGTCATTCTCTAGAGTTTCTAGAGAATATGTTCCCAAATCTTCTCTGGCCCTCAAACAAGATTACCAGAGTTGTGATCCCAGTTATCTTTAACTGCAGGTGGTTCAGAATGCTTGTGACCAAGTCCTCCAAACACCCACATCACCCTGCTTCTCCAGCTTCACTGGCTGCCAGTGAACTTGAGGGTTAATTTCAAGATCCTGATTCTGGTCTTTAGGGCCTTACATCGCATGTGTCAGACACAAGGCCTGGCCCGCGGAGCATTTTTATGTGGCCCGCGAGGTAAATATCATAAACATATTAAAACTGACCCGCTGGCGGAATTTACCACAAAGACTACAACTCCCATGATGCTTTGCGGCGTTAGCATGGAGCCGAAGCGCCCCCTCCTCTGTGTTTTTTCCAGAGTCTGCTGCCGGTGTCAGTACAGGATCTGCTCGGGTGCAGGATCGGCTCGGGGCCATCCGATTGCCGATGACGTCACATTACTGCAAATCTACTCTGCTTTCACACACGTTTTGGAAAGATATCAGCAGTTTTGTTAATAAATTCTTGTTTGTTAACACCTAAATGTTTTCTTTATAATTGTAATTTGTTAATAAAACACCATATTATCTTTGTTTTGTAAAGAATGTGAAACTGCATAAAACCAACATCGGACTGACAAAAAATAGAACAGTACTTATATGTGAAGCCATATCTGTTTGTATTAATGTGGAATTCGTCTGTATATCTCCTTAGTTATCTAAATAAATTCTTTGACTCAAAATATTGCTTGGTGTCTTTCAATAAAGTTCTTATGTTTTATTTTGCCTCATTTCATCAACATCAAGAGCTTTTGAGGGTCACCGTTTATCATTTGCTTATATTTTACACTTCCTTTAGAAATTCAAACACATTTTCTCCAAAAAGTGTTGATTTTTGGACTACAGGACTACAACCGCTGAGACTACGACCGCAAATTTGTTCTGCCCAATCAAAATCTGAACGTGATAACGTAACTTCCGTAACTTCATGTTCAGCCAATCAACTACTTTGACGACACTGGCAGTCGAAAGACCCCGAGCAGATCATGCATCCGAGCAGATCCTGTACCGACACCGGTGTCTGCAGCTCCACTGTCTCGGACAAACTAAACACTCCTCTCACTCAGCGCCGAGTTTACTCAGCTATTTGCTGACGCTGAAGCCCAGAAATGGAGATTTTAACCGCTCAGTAATGTGTTCACGACTGAAAGAGAAAGTTTTCCAACTAACTTCCAGACAGAGCTGATATAACTCCAACGAGCAGCGACACGCTCAAATCAGCATGACTCTGTGGCTGCTGTAGTTTTTATTTTTCCTCCCCGACACACAACAACGTGGTCAAGCTGCTCAGACATGTTCAGCAGCCCAAACCCTATGTGAGCACCTGTTGTCATCTAATGTTGTCATTATTATGACGAAGATGAACAAAACAACAGGAATCTCCTCCTCAGCTCAGATCAGCCCCATGATGCAGGTATCTGGCTGGAACAGGTGAGCATCACAGTAAATCAGTGGAGCAAACGGAGCTTTAAATATTTTGGTTTTATCCTTGTTTTCTGCTCCAAAACATGAAAGTTAACAGGTGAGATTTTGCATTTTCATTTAAGATAAAATGATATATTTATTTTGTTGTTGGCCGGTGAGAAAAGATTTAACCTACAGTAAACAGGAAGTGGAAAGGCTGCAGTTAGATGAATAGAATAGAAAATGCCCTTCCTCAGTGGGAAAGCTAGATGTCACAGCAGCGATGACACTTATTACAGGAGAAAATAGGGAGAATAAAAAAATAAGAAAAATGAATAAACAACAAGAAAACATAAATCCTGAATAGATTTTAAAAATGCTGAACATACCACAAGTAATGAATTCCACTGATGCGTTTATTTAAGACCGACTTGCTCGTGTGTAATTTGGTTATTCCACATTCAGTGTTAACGCAAAATTGAGTTTGTTTCCAAATTAAAAGGTTCAAAATTGCACATATGTTGGTAAAGAAAATGAGCACATTTGCCAACACTTTTTCAAAAGATATTAAGTTTGGCCCCCGACTTTGTCGCAGATTTTCATTTCGGCACAGTGTCTATTTGAGTTTGACACCCCTGATATACATGGACAAGCACCATCTTACATTGGTGATCTTCTCAGTCCCTACACCCCCAGCAGGTCCCTGAGGTCCAGTGACCAAAGCCTACTGGTTGTGCAGCACCAGGCTAAAGACCAAAGGTGGCAGATCATTGTGTGACCTTCATCATCACCCTCTCCTTATTCTGCTCTTATTCCGCCTTTCCCACGATCCACTGACTTCCCTCTTTCCTATCCAATTTCTCTATCCCTTTCCATACAGTTTTAATCACAATTGTTTTCTTCTCATTTTAAACATAGTTTTAATCTTTTTTTAAAATGTTTATATATATTTATATACATA